GGCAGTGCTCAGACACACCCCATCAGTGTGTGTATGTCCTTATGGGCAGTGCTCAGACACATTGCATCAGTGTCCTTTTCTCAGACCATTATTACATAAATAGGCAAAATATACAAAACAATTCATTCACCCACTCAAAGATACAATCAGTTTATAAGACTTTAAAGAAGTGCCCAACTTTATTAGCCCTCAAAACACTGGTGCAAATCACACCAAGACGACCCCATTCATTTAGCAGCATCTAAGCAATGCTGCTTGGAGGGTGAGGTGAAACATATACTCATCAATTCCGCTTGTGGGCATGTAAGTTGTGACAACTTACCTGAAAAGAATTTAATAATTTAAGAGGTTTAAAATATCCATACTCTTTAGCCAGGAAATGCCCTCTTGGAAACTACTCCTGATTATATAATTTGGGTTAAGAGTACATGTTTAATTTTTAAAAGACAGGATTTTGCTCTGTCACCCAGGTTGGAGTATAGTGGGGTGATCACAGCTCACTGCAGCCTGAACTCCTGGGTTCAAGTGAACCTCCTGCCTCAGCCTCCTGAGTAGCTGGACACCATAGGTGTGTGCTACCATGTCCAGCTAATTTATTTCCTATTTTGTAGCAATGCGGTCTCACTGTGTTGCTTAGACTGGTCTTGAACTCCTGGCCTCAAGCTATCCGCTCACCTCAGCCTCCCAGAGTCCTGGGATTATAGGCATGAGCCACTGTGTCTGTGTTAAATTGTTAAATTTTTAAAGAGATGAATCACCGCCTATGACATGTGTGCATAACATTATTTGTACAATAGAATTTCTTACCCCAAGTTTTCTTCTTTCTGAAGGGGCTCTAAGCAGATCTCAGCTCTCCGTCCCAGTTTATATTCCCTGATAGGTGAAACAAAGTAATATAGAGTGACATGCTACTTAATTTTTTAAAATAATTTTTTTTTCAAATTTTAAGCTTTTTCTTACACAAAGGATTGATTTCTGAATACCATATAAGGATACTTGAGCTTTTAGAAAAGGGCGAAAACTAGAACACTTGCCATGGTGATTACATGCTTGGGTTGTTTCCTAACAGGGATGTGGAAGTCTGGCTCTATAAAGATGGTCACGTTGTCAAAGAAACCTCCCTCTGTCTAACCAGGGGGTAGGTCCCTATGCCAGTCACGTTGGGGTAGTAAGAGAGTGGATGTAAAAGAAGCCCTAAGGGCTGCTATTTGCAAAGGAAACTAATGACCATTTAATGCCCCAAGTACTCTCTGAGTTCAAAGCTCCAGGAGGACCAGCTGAATCAAACATTTTCTGACAGAGGACCAGCTCACCCCTGCCTTCTACTTTACTCCAAATACTTCACTTCCTAGTCATGACAGTGTCACCGTTTCTGGAGCATAGAAGAAATATACAAGGCTACATTTGGACTTAACATGGAAAACTGAAATCACAGTAGAGTGTGTGATAAAAAGCACTGTCCAACTCACATTCCTCGAATTAGCAGGAGTGAGCTGTTACTATCTGACACAAAAGACCAACTCCTCTATGAAGCCCTCCCACTGCCCAGTGTGGCAGCAGGGAGGGACAGCCAGGGCCCACCCATAAACCTACTTGAGTAGCTGCCGGTTGGCTCGTAAAAGTCTGCCCAGGCGCTTACTCTCTACTGTCCAGGCTCTGAGGAAGGCTGGGGACAGAACACTGCATTCCAGGAAAGGGAGCAAGGCCACGGCCTAGAAAAAGAAACAGACATTTCTCCAATGGTTTTAGAAAGCACTCTTAAACACACTCTGCTTCAGAAAAAACAAGCAGCACTACATAAGGACATCTGAGGGAAAGAGTACCTCGAGGGATGATAAAAATCTTTTTTGAAAATCATAGGAATATGTATCTCTTAAATGAAATTGATCTTGAGTAGTTTTTATCTTCCTCTCCATTGAAATCAGCTTGCGAAATGAGCTTTCTATTTCTAAATATGAGCCAAAAGTTCATTTTAATCATTATGTTCCAAAAATGAGACTTTAGGATTGATTTTTTTGTGAGTATAATTCACAACAGCAGAGTCTGCGTTAACAAAAGGACTTCACCTTCACCTTCACCTTCACCTTCACCTTCACTGGTGCTAATGCGATTCTCCAGTGTCTGCTCTGCCAATGAAGTTAACACTTGATCCTGCAACATGGCCAAGTCTGGCTCTGAGCAGTAGGCCCAAACTGCTTGTTGTAATTCAGCAGCAGTGGATAACTTTCTGCTCTCATTTATATTTCAGTTGAAGCATATAAAGTTGCCAAAATTCATCCATTTTTTGATCTAAAAACAGCATCTTTCAACCTAATACAAGAAAAAAGTAACTTCCCACTTGTTATCCTGAGAATAAAGCTGTCTGCTGTTTTGAAGGTGATTTCATACATTAAGGACACATAAATGCCAACTATCAACAAGTGCTGGTCAGACAGCACACGCCTCTGCAGTTTTGCCTTTGAGAGAAAGAAGGGACGCTCACTGAAGTCCAACAACAGGAAGAGAGATGCCTTTTGACACTATTGTACTTAATCCGGCCTCTCCACTTGGAGAAAACCCCACTTCTCTGTGAATATTAATGTGAAAGAAAATACAACATCGAGTTTAGCAACCTAACATGAGAGCTGATGTCCCGAGCTCCTGGGAAACTCATAACACAGCTTTTCATAACAACATTTAACATATGGATCACAATGGTACAAAAACAATGTAAATAAAGGGGTAGAGTGGATGCTTTACAAATGCTTCAAGAAACCATGTTTCCCTATAAAATAAAAATGAACAGAAGCTGCAAATCACTGAGTGTAGATTCAAACAAAGCACAGCATGCCTGTCGGAGTGGGTCAGTGAGGGCCACCATGTGCTGCCTGCGTGGTACTTACCACTGAACATGGCATATGACAAATGCCATATCAGAACAGACTGTAGTTGGGGGAAAAGGAGATAGAAGAATATATTAATATCTCACTGGAAGAAGCCGTATCAGCACTAAGTCGCGCTGCAGAGAAGCCTGACCTGAGACTTCAGATCCACCAGCGCGGCGTCTTCCGTGACCTCCACGTCTCCCAAGTAGAGGAGGGGACCTTCCGCAGGCGTGTTCCCTGGATCACCTTCCAAAAGACAGAGCTGGATGCTTAGAAGGAATTTTAAACTTATCTATTTCACATTTCTGAAACACATTGCCATGTTGTGATACAAGAACAAGTTTATTAAGATTCCATTTGGGAACCTGTGCATTTGAGTCCCTGGCACTGCCTGGTGGGTAAGTGGGCTGGGGCCACTGCTGGCAGAAGATCATGAGGATTGAACTCGTATCACCTTCCTAGAATGTGTCTCGGCACATTCTCGCCTGTTTCAAAGACTTGGTTAGTAGGTCACTTTGCCTGTATTCTTTATCTGACCTTCCTGTTTCTTTCTCATAACATGGATCCCAACTTGCTATTCTTCTGTCTGCTTTCACGTATGGGTGCGTTTAATTGGCCTCAACAGAATAGGACTTTCAAGGGGGGCTGGCCGTCATCTTGCTCATCTCCTCAGTGCCTGGTGTGGCAGGCACCACGTAGTATATGCCCAATAAGTGTTTTCTTTCCCAACTTTGTTTTAAAATGGGGAAAAACAAAATGATGTGTCATCAAAAACTCTGAATATAAAAGCTGGCAACTGAATTTCAAATTTGGAATATCTTTACTTACTCTCAGTTTCATTAAATGTCTTTGTTTCTTGCTGAGAACTTGCAGACAGGTGCTGAGTGGAGTAAGTGCAGGAGTTGTTCTTCCTATGTCTTAAGGACATGGCTGGCCCTACCCTACACACGCTGCTGGGCAATTGTACGCAAGGAAATATGCCGTCTCCCAATGGACAACAGAGTTCAGGTCAAAGATGGGCTGCACACAGCATGCTGGTCTCCTAAGATTACAACTGCGCCTTTACTGTCCCTGTTCTATACTAACCACCAAGCTGCAGTTGCCACAGTACTCAGTGTGACAACACGCTGCCCAGGTGGTGGCCCAGGGCAGCAGGCTGCATCCCACAGCCAGGGACATAGGAGGCCGCACCGTGCAGGTCTGTGCAGCTGCACCCACAACGTCCACGCAATGATGAAGTCACCTAACTATGCATCTCTCAGAGTTGTCCCCTTCGTTAAACTACACAGAAGTGTACTTCCCCCCTGTTGTGATATAGAAATATAATACTACCAAAAACGAACCTTTTCCTTTACTTTATGTAGAAACATACTGACTAAAACATGCCTTTAAAATCTGACACGTAACTAGTATTCTACCATTAAAGCATTTTTAAGAATTAATTAACATGAACTAATATAACCCAACTAAAAAAACGATGGCAATTTCATAGCTGATTCAACATATAACTCTAAATCTATAATCCTGATTTCAAAGAATAAGGAGATAGGATTTCACTCATTTATATTAATTTAATTGCTGAGGTTTAAAAGATAAAAATAAAAACGTAATACTCAAAGGTACTAGAAAAGAGAAATAATTAAATATAATGTGATAGAAAGAAATAATATAGCTAATGACTTGGGCTTACTGAAAGATTTTTTTCCGTCTATAGTTATAAAAGTGATTAAACTGTGTTTTCTATATAATGAAGTAGATAGAACTCTGCTTTGTATAAAGGCAATTCAACTTATTGCAGGCAACTTCTGTCCATGGTGATGTGTATGCTAAATTTTGAGTAAGGTAACAGATTTGTACTCTGTCTATATTTCTTTCCAGAAGTCAGTGAAACGATGTCAGATGACCTAGAAACAGTTTCTGAGGGCTCTGGGGGTAGAGGCAGAAAGACCAGGAGACGTGCAGGATGTGGACTCCTACCTTGGTCTCTGCCCTTGTGGGTCATTAGGATTGGTTGAAGCCTCAATATCCTGATACAGGAAAATAAATGGGCCCTGACGATCTTGAGAGATGTATATAAAAGATCTTTGAAAAAGAATAATACATTGACATAATAATAAAAATGAGATACATAGAGCTCTATAGAGGTTACAAAGCACTGTGTAAGGATAGGATGGTGCTGCCATTATCCAATGACTTATTATATTATAAATAGGTTTTCATTTTCAAACTTGCATTTTTATAAGAAATATTTCAGTTGCCTCTCGGAGCAAAAGAGCCATTCTACTTTTCTTTATGACATGCTGGCAGCTGGAATCTCTTTCTGTGCTCACCTTGAGTAGAAGCAGCTCTGCATGTCCCTCCCGCAGCAGAAGCACAGCTGGTCTGGTCCCGTGGGCTCTCGCAGGGCCTTGCGCGTCCCTGAGGCTGGTACCACCAGATAGGCACCTTCAGGAAACCCTAAGGGATGGAGCATTTTCAATGCTGTGATTAAGTGACCCTCCCCTTTTACTCCCACAAAGAGTCTTGAAGACATAAAATGTTCTTGAATTTACTGTTTTTCCTTAGATTTATTAACTGTCATAAATTGACAGCTACTTGTTCATTATTTTAACAATCAATAATTTGAAATCCTTGAAATCAGACTTCAGGGTGACTGGACTATGTTCTTGCTTAGAGCAGTGATTTTCAACTGGTGAACCATGACAGGATCTTAGGCAAATTATTTTCAAAAGAAGTTCAAAGCACAGTAAGTATACTTTCTTACTCTTTTTTTTTTTTTTTGATCAACATAATTTATGTTTGCTGCAGAAGTTTATAGGTTCAAGTGTGCCGTGAGATAAAAAAGGTTGGAAAACACTGGCTTAGAAGTATCTCTGTAGATCAATGAATGAGAGACACACACAGTAACAGACATTTGCCTGCAAACACCCTGCAGAGCACTATGGCATCACGCACGGGCACGGGCATGGCAGGCAGCTCTGTTTACTACAAAGAAGCAACAACGTATTGACCTCAGTCAGACTCCTGCACACAAAGTGCTTCAGGAGTACCCTGCAATGCCTGTAATTTTGGCTTTACTAATTTATCAGTTCTTCCCATCTCTTTCTTTTTTTTTGGTTAGTAAAGAAATTTGATCTGCTGCTAAGAGATTAAAGATGTTACAGTGCTCAGTTTCCAGCAACGGAAGATGAGAAAGTAAAAAATAACCAGATAAAATATTTTAGATATACAGTTCAATAAATGCCTATTAGCATATTTTTCTGTTTATCGAGCTGGTAAAGATTAACAAAACTCATCCCCCATTTAGTTAACTAAATAACAACAATAGAACTCCATTTTTTCTACCTCGCAGATAGTTAAAAATCAGAAAGTCTAACAACATTCTGTTGGTAAAAATTTGGGTAAACTCGAACTCTTATAAGTTGGTGGTAGGAATATAAACTACTGCAAAGTTTTCAGAGACCAATGTGGCCATTAACTGTCAAAATTTAAACTGTGAACTCCTTTGCCACAGCCACATTTAGAACTTTACCTTCTGATAAACTAGCACGTATATACAAAGCCACACGTGCAGGACATTCATGCCAATCGTTTACAGGAGCAAAACCTGTGACCCAACCTCAGAGTCCCTCTTTAGAAGGCTGGTTACATCACGGGAGGCCAGGGCCATGCTCGGTACTTCTTACCAAGCACTTTCAGTTCCGGGAATTTACTCGTAGGTCTATCTGCTCATATATATGGACATGCAAGCTGTCACCCTGGGTAGAGTGCAGTGGTGTCATAGCTCACAGCAACCTCAAACTCCTGGGCTTGGGTGATTCTCTTGCCTCAGCCACCCAAGTAGCTGGGACCACAGGTGCCTGCTGTAATGCCTGGCTATTTTTTTGGTTGTAATTGTCATTATTGTTTGGCAGGCCCAGGCTGGATTCGAACCCATCAGCTCAGGTGTATGTGGCTGGTGCCTTAGCCACTTAAGCTACAGGTGCTGAGCCTCAAAAATTAGCTTTAAAGATCACTTTAAAAATACAACAGAACGCTACGAGGTCATGAGAAGGAAGAGGGCAGCAGGTTTGTGTGGCATGTGGTCTGTGTGGGGAGCTCCTCAAGATACATTAACAACAAACCATATTGTTCACCCATATTGTTGCTTGTATCAGCAGAAGACTGGAAACCACCTTTTCCAGTTGGTCTCCTTATGTAAACTTTGGAGTGTAGAACATGATATCCTATGTAAACTTTAAAAAGGACAGGCACATGTTTGCCTTCAGCATACAAAGGCCAGTAATGTTTTTCTTAGAAGGCTATACAAGCGGGAATAAGTTAACTGTCACTCTCTCCAGAGAGAAGGATGTGGGAGTGACTGTTGCTTTTTATTGCATAACCTTCTGTGCTATGTGATTTTTCTAATCATATCCTAACAATTGGTTACCCAAGTATTAAAATTTAGGGCCATTTTTTATTCTTTGCTCTTTATACATATCCACATTTAATAGAATAAATTAAAAAGTGATGAAATGAACCCTTCCCTATGCTGCTATGCTAGATAGGATTGGAAATTTGGCACACTTGTTGGGAAAGCAATTTGGCAATACATCTATAGCATCAAGTCTATGAAAAGTTCATGCCTTTTGACTTAGTAATTCTACCTTTGGAACTTTAAGAAGGATTTATACTTAAGTACTATTTATAAAAACACTAAATTTTCAACAATGAGGATATAGGTGAATTAAACTGTAGCAAATTATTATCTTGGATATAATGAATGTTTTGGATTTCATGATGAAGTTAAAATGTTAAGTATAAAAAGTAGGAAATAAAATTTTATAAACAATTGATTTCAATTTTTTAATCAAAGATTTTTTTTTTTTTTGAGACAGAGCCTCAAGCTATCCTCCTGGGTAGAGTGCTGTGGCTTCACAGCTCACAGCAACCTCCAACTCCTGGGCTCAAGCGAGTCTCCTGCCTCAGCCTCCCAAGTAGCTGGGACCACACGCGCCCGCCACAACACCTGGCTATTTTTTGGTTGCAGCCGTGATTGTTGTTTGGTGGGTCCGGGCTGGATTCGAACCTGCCATCTTAGGTGTGGCTGGCGCCTTAGCCACTTGAGCCACAGGCGCCGAGCATTAATCAAATATTTATAGGGCACTCTACCCAGGGCAACTGAATGAGACCCTGCCCAAAAAGAAAAAAAAAATTTACAGGAAGGAAATATACATTAGATATTCTGTTATGACTGTCTGTATTTCCCCATTTTCCTACAATAAGAATGTATCATCTTTGTAATCAAAAAACAGTAACTGTTACTTCTAAAATGTCTATTCATATATAAAATCTTACCGGAGGAGGAAGTTTTCCTTCTATTAAAAGCAAAGTATCTCCAGAAGATATCATAAGCTCTTTCAGTGTTGCATCCTGGGAATACAGAAATTCTTTTTTGTCACTTATGACTTCTGAAAGGAACAAAGAGAGCACTGGATCTTTTTAGCCCTGTGCCTCTATTATCTTTTTAAGACATAAAGGAATAATAAAGCAGATATTGAAGTCAAAGGAAATAAGCTAAGACTATAAAATCAGCATAGCACTACATAATAAATTGTGGGATCTGAACTGTAAGTATCATAAAAGATCTGAGGAAAGGGAGATGGATGAGAGGAGAAATGATGAGACTGACTTATGAAAGATGAAATTTTAGTTAAGCCTAAAAGGATGGGTTGGATTTAGAAGTCTGGAGGAAACAAGAGAAGGAATTTCTCATGAAAAAGAGAACAGGGTTGATAGTAGGTATGGCTTATTTTTGTAGAATTAAGAGACTAGACTGACTGGAATGTGAAGTATGGCTGGAGAGGAGCAGGAAATAAATGTGATGCTCAAATTCACTGCCACATAGGAGTAAAACTCAATTCAATTCAAGTTGGGGGGAAGGGGAGGGAGGGAAAAGGGAGGGAAGGGGGAGGTTGGTGTGCTCCCAGTGAATGGTCACAACGTTGGGGTGTATGGCACACCTTTTGAGTACAGGACACAACTTCAAGATGGACTCTACCTAACAAATTCAAATTTGTGACCTGGTTGTTTGTACCTTCACATTAACTTGAATTAAAAAAAAACAAAAAACCTTGGCTCAGCACCTATAGCTCAGTGAGTAGGGTGCCAGCCCCAGTATACGTGGCTGGCAAGTCTGAACCCAGCCTGGGCCTGCCAAACAATGACAACTACAATAAAAAAAATAGCTGGGTGTTGTGGGGGGAACCTGTAGTCCCAGCTACTCAGGACTGAGGCTGAGGACAGGAGGCTGAGGCAAGAGAATCACTTAAGCCCAAGAGCCACAGCATGCTACCAAGGGTGACGTAGTGAGACTGCCTCAAAAAAACAAAAAAACCCAAAAGAAACTATAAAAAAAAAAAAGATGAATGGCTAACATAAAAAATGAAAATAAATAAATAAATATGGACCAGAAGCCCAGGTGCAAACCGAGGGATGTGGGATAGATGTGGGATTTCTGAGGTGTTTCAAAAGATGAGTTTGGCTGCTACAGCATGACATTCTGAAGTGGCAAACACCTGGGCCCAGGGGAAGTGCGGTACTTTAGGGAAGAGGCGAGAGAAGGCTTAAACCCGCCAAGAAAGGAGTGGCAGAACTGATGAGCCTTGGAAACAGGAAGACCCAGAGGTGAGTAGGGTGAGCAAGTATTAGTGTAAAGGATTAGGGCGGGAAGACAGATGGCATATTGGAAAGAGAAGCCAGTTTTGAGGGTCATGAATTTGTTTTTAGATGAGTTATTTGATATGGATTTGGGAATTAGAGAAGAACATGCTGAAACTTTCTGAGTAAATGCATTCTTCTGCCAGCCACACTGAAGAGTCTTTGAGGTCTGCTTCTTGCTCCACAGTCACTCCTGAGTCAAGGCTCAGAGGGCCTATCTCTGCCACCTTCCTGACTGCTGTACCGCAGGGCGTGTCCCAGGGAAGGCCCCAGCATGCCTGCTGAAATCAGCCCTATGCTGACATTCAATGCCACCATATCACTGAACAGAAGCCAGGCAGGTAAAGATGGGGGAAAGGGCAGCTGACCACAAGTATCCAAGCTTCCTCACAAAGCTTCACTCTGTGTCCACCTCTAAGGTCACTGGTGTGGCCTTTAGGTAACTGTTGTTTATTCTCTACAGTTCACTACCTAGCCCTCCTCGGAGCACGTTCTCCCACTGGTCAGAAAGGGATTTATCACAGATGTTAGAAATGGTCCCTCTATCAAAAACCAAAGGAAGAAAGAGTGAAAACAGACCCATTCATAGGTGTCTGTATCCTACAGAAAATAATTACAGCTTTCTCATGAGTGGGATGGATGTCTTGAAAATACAAACTAAACTTATCATTTTTAAGAGTAAAATGTATAGAAATAATCTTACTTCTTCATATAAAGGCTCTCCGGCTTCATAGCACCAATCCATTTTTCGTAAATGCCAGGTATCTCCTATAAAGAAATCAAAATCAAGATAAAAACAAAATCAGAACATGTTTTAAGAGTTTGTCAGGGATGGCCCTCTATTTTTTTTTTTTGAGAGTCTCAAGCTGTCGCCCTAGGTAGAGTGCCATGGCATCATCACAGCTCACAGCAACCTCCAACTCCTGAGCTCAAGTGATCCTCTTGCCTCAGTTTTTCTATTTTAGGTAGAGCTGCAGTCTTGCTCTTGCTCAGGTTGGTTGCAAACTCGTGAGCTCAAGCAATCACCCGCCTCGGCCCCCCAGAGTGCTGGGATTCACCTGCCCAGCCAGGGATGGCCCTCTAGATAAATGAATATCAAATGAGATGTGTTCATTAGTTTTTTAAGTAAATTATCTCTTCCAGAGCATGAAAAAAATCTAGCCGTTTCCTCAATTTGGTCTATTTGACCTCTCTTCCACCAAGAACTATATATTCATGAATAAAAACAATACTTGCTATTACTATACAATATTTCCATTATACTTTTACTATTTCTATATAAACACATATATATCACTCATCAGTATCCACATAGGCACATATCTCTGTAGGTACAGACTCTCCTCTGAAAGCAGTATGAACTGACGTCTGTTTTACCGTCATGGCTGGAAGCGCAAGTAACATAGCTTGGCAACTGCTAATGTGTGCGAGAAAATTATTCTTATCTACCTGGCAGTTAATCAAACAAAAACACAGAGCTAGTGCTTTCTGAATGGCATTTCAGTGAAGCTGGCATAAGTGAATATTTGTAAATGTTAAATAGACTTTAATAAGATACTGATAAACTTGTTACACTGGTGAAGTAATTATTTTAGGGGGGGTAGAGAAAGTGGAAGGAGCAAAAGTTAGAAATCTTGGCTATTAAAAATAAAAGCAATGTTTATAAGCAAAAGACTCCCCCACCCACCCAAAGCATCTGATAGGAATAAACACAGATCTCATAATTATTTCCACAGGCCCGTGTGTGAACGCAAACACTCTTCTTTGCAACCCTCTTTGTCACTGGTTCCAGTTTTAAGTATAGTGATATTTAAATCAACTTTGAAACTTAATTTAAGTACCTTCAAAAATCACCTATAAGTTAAAAGTAAACACCACTACTTCACAGCAAGCGTGGTTCTGAAAGCAGAGACCTAGCTGCTGTGGCATAACTCTGGTGAACCACGGGACTTTTCTTCGCTCTTGTTCCTCTGTCTATAAGGCAGGAAGGGGCGAGAGTCCCTGCATGGTGAGACTGCTGTCCAGATTAAACGAGATATTGCAAGTACACGTCAAGAAAGAATGCCTTGTACCCAGAGTACCTTAACTTTCTTCCCAGATAACAAGCACTTAGCCCTCCGCTTCACTGGAGTTTGAGGACAGCAAAACCTTCTACTGAAAGCCCAGCGATGCCACACCAACCTTGCCAATGGGATCCCATCCAGAAGGGAAGCTGCTTCTGGTTACCTTGGATTTATTTTTTTCATTCTCATTACATTCCTAATGCATTGAAATTTGCAGTGACAGTAAAAACATAAATGAGTGAAGGACCTGAGTAATTCCTGCTGGTATAAACCTTAGCTTTATCCCCACTGGGTTCTTCCTGGGTTCCCTGTACTCGGTGCTCATCTACCACTGGCTTGCTTTCAGTTTGCAAACAGGAACCAGAAGAACTCATTTTGTATATATAGAAATGGAATTTATTTTTCTTTCTCCATAATCCTGTCAAATTTTATCCCACAATGCTGGACGGGGAAAAAGTTTGAAAGGTTTTCATTAGGTTTGTAGATAATCAATTTTAAGCCAAGAGTGTAAATAAGATTATATCTTTGTGGTAAACAGCTTACCTGGTAGGCCAGATTTCTCAAGCATTATCTTTAAACACTGTAAAAAAAAATTACATCCAATGTTATTTTTCCATTTCTGAGTTATTTTTCTAGGAGAAAACACTCTTTTTGGACCCAAGACCTATATAAGTCTGACTGTATTTAATAATTGTTGAATAAAGATATACACAGTTAAAATGATACATAAGTCAGCTTTCCCTTTCTAAGAGCTAGGTAGGCCAAATTCAGGAGGGGAAAAAAACCACAGCACTTTCTTGTGTTCACTTTCTAGAGTTCAAAGTTTCATTTACTGAGCAGGTATGAACCATGACTGACAGTGTGCATTTAACCAGATATGATTAATTAGGATGATTTTATAGACATACATTAAACTCTGAATCCTATGGATAAAAAAGTAGCCCTTTATTTAGCATCCATGAAACAGCTGATCATAGAACACAAAAGAAAGAACTGTGCACTCTGTAGTCTCATGTCACGGCCCCCAAATGACACAGTATTAATGAAAGGTTAAAGAAAACAAAAACAGCAATTAGAACACTCACCTTCTGGAGAGAAAAAACATTCCTAAATAAATCCTGAGCAAAAAGTAAAAATAAAATTTAATTTCTCCAGGCACGAAGGCTCATGCCTATAATCCTAGCACTCTGAGAGGAGGCTGAGGTAGAAGGACTTGAGCTCAGGAGTCTGAGACCAGCCTAAGCAAGAGCAAGACCCCGTCTCTACTAAAAACAGAAAAAACTGGCTGCATTCCCAGCTACTTTGTGGGATGAGGCGGAAGGATCACTTGCACCCAGGAGTTGGAGAGTGCAGTGAGCTATGATGATGCCACTGCACTCTAGTCATGGTGACAGAGCAAGACTCTGTATGAAAAAATAATTTCTACTACACTAGAGCAGAGGGGGCAAAAATAAGGATGCTTACTGCTATATTGTTTGTAAAAAGAGAAAAATGTCAAACAATCAAAACAGCTATCAATGGGTGAATATTTTAAAAACTAGGAAATCTCGATTGGTCTTAAAAGTTCTTTACAGTATTTCAAGTGAAATTTAGAGTTCTAGCATAATACACGCAGCCTGATCCCATTTATGATTTAAAAGAAGCCACAGAAACAAATTGTGCCCTTCATGTCTATGTGTGCACGGGGGCACATTCTGGCACAGGCACAGCAAAGGTCTGAATGGCACCAAGTCTACTCGTGTGGAGAAGAATATGTCACCTGATCATAACTGACTTCTAGAGAAGGGTCTAGAATAGGGTGGTGACCAAGGGGGGTTTAAAAAGTGAGAATAAATCTATGATCACTTATATGATTAAAAATAAAATTAAGGAATGCTATAAAGTATGGGCAGTGCCTGTGGCTCAGTGAGTAGGGCGCCGGCCCCATATACTGAGGGTGGTGGGTTCAAACCTGGCCCTGGCCAAACTGCAACAAAAAAATAGCCGGGTGTTGTGGTGGGTGCCTATAGTCCCAGCTACTTGGGAGGCTGAGGCAAGAGAATCACCTAAGTCCAAGAGCTGGAGGTTGCTGTGAGCTATGGTGCCACGGCACTCTACCGAGGATGACAGAGTGAGACTCTGTCTCTAAAAAAGAAAAAAAAAAGAATGCTATAAAGTATAATTATAGATTGCTTAGAAAATCATGATGATGACAGCTATTAATTAAAACATGGGGAATGGGACCAAAGGGTATTCAAAGAAAACTACAGTCTTAAAGGCTTTCATTGCTTAAGAAAAACATACAATGGAATATTCACTTTCACTGCATTCTGAAATGAAGTCCATACATTGCAACTGGTTGCTATTTCTCTTACGACTTTTTGACCTGTACGTTTCCCCTGGACTCCAGTTTTATCTATTGAAGAGGAGTTTTCCAATTTGGAATTTGCAGACTGTAGATCTGAGGTGCATTTTACATGTGCTTATGTCTCCTGAGTTTCTTCTAAACTGGTAGACCTACAGGCTTGCTCAGACTCAGGTGCAGGGTTTTGGTTTTTTAAAGAATAGCATGTGTACTGTACTGAGCTTCTCTAGTGTTTGAGTGTTGCTCTTTTTTTGGGTTGTTAGCAGTCTATGAGAATCATTGCCTCTGTCCATTAATTTATTAGGAGTTGAAAAATTGTGATATTATAAATTTTTTTTGTGATATTCTAAAATCCCTTATTCATTTATTAGCTGGAATATTTCTATAAAGAAAAACTTCTCATTGCAAAGAAAAAAACAGAACAAATGCTTTTCCCCATTTATGGTTTCCTACCATCTGCTATAGGTAACCAATAAATATTTTCTTTTAGAATCATTATGAACATGTAGATTTTATGCATATGTTTTAACTAATTTTAATTATCATTCTCACTGATGTCCAAATTGTCTCCCATCTTTGACTAGTGGGCTCCATGGTCTTTTTTGAGGATTCCAAGAGTCTTTGGTTAGTAGCCTCACTGCTGTCTATGATGATGGTCTGTTCCAGTCTCACCTTACATATTTCCTGACCTACGTATAAAATCAGACACTATTCCAAGATGCCCAGGTTCCTATTAGTTTAAAAAAAAAAATGTATTTAGCAACCATAATCTTGGGTGGTAGGGGTGTTTGCTGCTATGGAGTTGGTCTCTAAGCTATGTCAGAGGACCAAGCTAGAAAAAAACTTCTTTAAGAAAAAATACAGGAAGCTCATTCAGACTCTTCAAATTCAGATTTAGAAGTTTGGGTTTTTATTTAATCACACTGATTTCACCTATCTCTCCATTTTCTAATACTCAAAGTCCCAGCTGTCAATAATAGCAAAACAATTGTTTATTTGTTTATCACACACACACATATATACAAACACTGATACCTGTGTTTATATGTATAAAATATTACAAAAATAATGCCAAAGTGTTAATATTAGTGGGTCTGGGATGATGAAGGGTTTTCATTTTTTCTTTAAATCTATTTCTGCATCTTCTAAATTTCTATATTATTGGTAATCAAAAACAATAGTGATCTTAATGAAAGATTCTAATTGGCTCACCAATTTTCAAGCTTCCCACACTCTTCCTTTAGTGGGCGCATGTAATTCTTTGAAGTATTTTACATAAACCCTAGCCTGAGGCGCTCGCTCCAGACCCTAACACAGGAGGCCGCTGGCGCCCCATGCTCAATACCTTCACCCCTGAAAATAAAAAGTAAAATCACCTACGTCTCTCACAGATGTTGTTTCTTCCACCATCAGCTCCATCTCTGTGCCAGGTTGAACATCACTCCCCATTGCAAAAAACAGGAATAGCTAAGACCAAGACAGAAGTATGAATGAAGTGTAATCTGAATTGAAAATTCATGCTTGTATTATTTACTTTCAAGAAAGTAAAAGTAAAGCTAAGGATCCATGAAACTGTAATGAAAATCTCAAATTATGTAGACGCAAGACTATGTTGAGTAATTTAATGCTATAATTTAAAGAACAATTTCACCTACGTAAAAATGTAAAGAAATGCTTCATCATCGTCGTGTTTTACTCCTTATCAACGTCTCTCGCACACACTCCTTCTTCCATGATCTCCACCTCTGTCTCAGTAACTGCCTATGGCACTTTCCAATTACTATACACAGTTAAAATCAGTTATATTTTCTCTCAGTCACTTGATTATAATTTTATTTTCTGCCTGGGGATTCTGTATGTTATAATTCCCAAGACTCTAAGGAAAAATGAAAATCTCATCTCGTCAATTCAGTTCCTTACAGCCCTGCTTTTTCTAACTCAACATCACTTATCATGTTTTCCCTCCTATTAGCTTCATCGCTGTTATTTGCTAGAGTTCAAGGGAAAGCAAAATAAAGGCAAAGTAGTTGGAAAACTAATTAAGTGAATCCACAAATCATGGGAAAACTGATGTGAGTCCAGCTTACTCTGATACAGGGTATTAACAATAAGAACATCAGGGCAGTGCCTATGGCTCGGTGAATAGGGCGCTGGCTCCATATACTGAGGGTGGTGGGTTCAAACCCAGCCCTGGCCAAACAAAAAAAAAGTGGTGGGCGCCTGTGGTCCCAGCTACTTGGGAGGCTGAGGCAAGAGAATTGCCTAGGCCCAAGGAGTTGGAGGTTGCTGTGAGCTGTGATGCCACAGCACTCTACGGAGGGTTAATAAGTGAAACTCTGTCTAAAAAAAAAAAAGAAGAACATCATTATGGCTTTTAAACTATTAATAAGCTGATTAACTAGGCAGGGCATCTGGCAAAGTAACCTGATGATATTTTATATAGAAAATGAACAGTGATAAAGTCAAGAGGAAAGAGAGGTTGCTGAGAGACTATTGTATTATTCTACAGAGTCATGAAGCCCAAAATCAATATACTATATTTCATTAAGTCTAAAATGCTACGATTAGGTTCATTATTTTATGTACTACTAAAAGAGGACAAAAAAAGCCAAGTGTAGTTGTAACTGCAGAAAGTCACCAACTGGAAGATGCAGCCTAATCTCACAGATATTAAAATCCACAGGTATCTTAATTTATGAAATATAGTGGTTGGACATGGTAGCTGCTCAATCTTAAAAAATCCCTTTTAACTACAAAATTTTCACAGAAAAAGAATTTTATCAATATGCTTTGGCATAATGTTTTATATTTAAATAAAAATGTGCTCCTAAAATAAAATGTATCTTTTAAGGAAAAGGAAAACTTTTAGAGAAAAAGGTTACTACTGGAGTGGTTATGGTACTAATTATAAAATTAAGACATTCTGGTTATGGAAAGGTCAATTTTACTCTGACAGGCGACCTTATTTTACCTGAGAGGAAGTTGGTGCTTTTCCAAGACACAGGCCCAATGAACTTCCCATCTTCAGTTCTGCTTCCTTCAAAGTATAACAGTCTGGCACTGTAAAGAGTTTTAATAACGTGAGGCATGGGAGGGTGATTGGAGAAATCACCTCTATGGTTTATCTTACAAGGGTACAAGTGAATCTTTCTAAAAGTAGAATATAAACATCTTAACACAGTAACTAAGAAAATGATATAAAGGCTATGTTAACCAGTTTAATGAAAGTATTTCAAATTGTATATGAAAACACCACACTATACCCCATGATTGCATTAATGTACATAGCTATTATTTAGTAAAAAAAAATTCCTACCTCTTTAAGCAAAATAATACACTGAAATCAGTCTGTCTTTCAAAGTTAAGAATACCAAAAAAGAAGAAAAATGAGTTGCATTTCAGACAAAAGGGCGCCATGCGCTGTGGCTATACCTGATTTTCTATTTCCACATTCCCATTTTTACTCCTTAGCAACAGTGCTAAGACTCAGCTATGAATGTTCTAATTTCCTACTCAATAAAAATGCCTTGTTCAAACAGCTACTGTCAATATGGATTAAAAGGCACATATTCTGAATTGATTAATGAATGATGAACTAGCTTCTTTCAACTTTAAAATTGTGATTACCATCAATAATTAGACTAGGCTTAGTGCCTGTAGCTTGGCAGCTAGGACGCCAGCAATATAACCAGAGCTAGTGGGTTTGAACCCAGCCTGGGCCTGACAAACAACAACAACTACAACCAAAAAATAGCTGGGCATTGTGGCAGGTGCCTATAGTCCCAGCTACTTGGGAGGCTGAGGCAAGAGAATTGTTTAAGTGCAAGAGTTTGAGGTTGCTGTGAGTTGTGATGTCAAGGATGACATAGAAAGACTCTGTCTCAAAAAAAAAGACTAAATGGAGTTTATTGGTAAGAGGTGTTATAGAGATGAGAACCAAAGACTTTATTCTATAACTGGTATTATAATAAAATCAACAAAACAAACAAAAAACCCTTTGAAAATAAAGCTAGAAAAATATAAACATGACTAAAGTGAGAATTGGATAATTAATCACAAAGACAAGTGTTCACTTAGAAAAGCCAAGTGGGCCGGGTGCAGTGGCTCACGCCTGTAATCCCAGCATTCTGGGAGGCCGAGGCAGGTGGATTGCCTGCTCACAGGTTCGAGACCAGCCTGAGCAAGAGTGAGATCCCTGTTGTGGTGGGTGCCTAAGTTCTAGCTACTTGGGAAGCTGAGGCAAGAGTATTGCTTGAGCCCAAGAGTTTGAGGTTGCTGTGAGCTATGGCACCATAGCACTCTACTGAGGGTGAAAGTGAGACTCTATCTCAAAAAAAAAAAAAGCTAAGTGTTTATTTCTGGTACGGTTTTCTGTAACACATGAGTAAGATATTCAGATGTCTATAAATCAGTTTCTTAAAAGCTTTTAAAAGAATATTAGGTATTGGAAGGCATTATTTACAGTAAAAGTCTTAAGAAAGATAGGTGGGTATGACTGTTTGCCAGCTTTAGAAAGATACCAAAAAGACTCACCTGGACAAAGTAGCTTCCCATTTCTATCAATAGGTCTCAAACAGCTGTTCTCAACTATAAACAGAAGGAAGCTGGTCAGGGCACCAAAAAAGACATGGAAGAGAGATACTCGCTAGTGTAGAAGAAAACTACAGTAAACTAAAAACCAAACAAAACATAAACCAGCTCCCTA